AGAAAATGAAACATTTCTTATTCAATAATTTCAAAACAAATAAGATGTTGAAAAGTGACTGTTGAAGCAATTTCTTGCCATTTACTAACTTGCTTGATGCTTCCCAATTTAGCACTGAGTCAGTTGTCTTCTTTTTAAAAATCATGTTAAAGAAAAAAAACAAAAAAACTAAACTAAAAAGGAAACAACAAAATTACACTATATTGCATATAAAGAAAATTTGGAGAAGGGAGTGCCAATTTTTAAATAAATCATTAAATCTTGACCACACATATACAGATAGATAGATTGCAAAGCCAGGTGATGATAGAAAAAAAAATAATGCATCACTGGCTTTAGAGAAAATTAGAATACCAGGAATAATAGCAACAAAATTAAGTCAAGGACAAACAAGTGGCAAGGGAGCAGTGGAGCTAATAGGCAATTGAGGTAGACCAATCAATAGTTCTATCAGGAGGCTGTTTATACCCCGAGTCTGCCCATCCTAAGAAAAGGCATAAATATTCTGTCAGACTTTTGCTGTAACAAATGGTTTTTTTCCCGTTAGTTTGCAAGTTATGTGACCAAATTGACAAAAGGGTATTGGATAATAAAAAGACTTCTTTGTAGTGTTTATTAATAGTGCTTTATACAAATTATCCTAAGTAAAAAAGCCATCAACGCTATGTAGAACTGAACATAATAGTATGTATATACATTCACACACAAAAATCATGTTTAATGATAAATGCTTATAGCTTTTTATAAATATTTTGTACATTAGATGAAAATCTGTAAGCTTTCAATGAAGCATGGCTGTAGACTGCTGCATCCTAAATAAAACTAGGAAGAATTTAACAAATTACTTTATATAAAAGAAAAAAAAAACTTTTTAAAAAGTAGCATTTTACATTAGGAAAATGCTTGCATTGCTAGACCTTTTAGTAATGGGATTGAGAAGTGACCATAAAATTAATTCACTTTTAAGGATATCTATTTTGGCAGTGGCATATTCATTCAATCCGTACAATTTTTGGGGGGACTATTAGGTATCTTTTAACAAAGCTATATTTTTATTCTCCATGTTTTAGTTTTTGATATATACTGAAAGAAAAAAATATACTTATAAAAAGGTTTCCCTCTATAACAATACAATGATCATATAAAATTGTTTTTGAATTATGAGCTCTATATTTAATAGACATTTTTGTGAGACTTCCACAAATTAAAGTCTTTTGAACATTTAAGAAAAATGCTTTTTTAAATTGTTATAAAATATCTTAATTACTAGAAAATTCACAATATTTATTATGACAAAGGTATCTTTTTATCTGAGATAAACTGTAACCAATCTATAGGTGTATTATTAAGTGTTCTTTTGGAAGGAAGGTAAATATAAATAATTCACCAGCTATCTGAATCAAATAGTTTTCAATCATTATTTAAAAGTATAAAGTACGATGAAACTCTAATTTACTTTTCACTATACAGTTGTATGGAATATGAAGCAAAATGTTATTTAAGAGCATTTGTAATCCACAAATATAAAATACTATTATATAAACCTATTTTTTATCAAGTAACTATGATTTAACAAAGACATATTTTTCTTTCTGTTCTTAATAAAAAGAAAACTGGAAATATATACTAGTTGAAATGTTTGAGATTATGATTTTATAGATAATTAATATAAACATCTGGCACATTGAACTCACCTCTTGGATAATGGATTACATTTTGGCAATAATAATATTTCTTTAGAAGCCAACAAATATCATGTGGAATCTTCCTATACTGATATTTCCCAGTAAATAGTGTTAAGAGGGCTACTGTCTGTGATGTTAAATGGCTCACAAACATAAAAGCATATAGCTTTTATGTTTGTGAGCCATTTAACATCTAAAGTTTGAATTTATCAAACATTAAAAAAATAAATCTAAACTGACTCATTATTGTGACTTGTATTGTGACTATATTAAAATTTATATGTTTATGATAACTGTATGCTTTCCCATAACTACAATGATCATTCTAAGTACAGTTGGTAGCTTCATAAGATGACATCATTCTATTATGAAAAAACTCTCTATTCAGCTTTCTCCACACCATGTACATATATTTTCTCCCAAGTACTCAAGCCTTTTTAATATAAAATCCACTTAAATTGCAATAGATATAATTTTGTAGAACATGTAGGATAAGCCTATTTTTAAAATCATGTCATCATTCAGTTCTGTTTCCTGACAAGTAAAAGTTAAATATATAAAAGTGGCTGAAATTGCCAGGAGGCAGGAGGAGGAAAAATATAGTTTGATACAGCTTGCTCTTGCAATAATCCCCAACAAAATCTTTACAACAGTATAGAACTAGGGATAAACTGAGATTTTTTTTCTCTTATGCATCTTCATTATCTCCAGCAGTAGAAAATGATATGATATATTGTGGGTAATATATTCTATGACATGAGTTCAGTCAAATATAGTAATTTTGGGAAACTGAGTTCATCAATTTTAAATGTAATGGTTTATTAATGGAGATAAGAAAATAGTAGACTATACACACACACACACACATATATATAAAGTATATATATATATATATATATATATATATATATATATATATATATATATATATATATATATATATATATATATATATATATATATATATATATATATATATATATATATATATATATATATATAAATAAATAAAATGAAGGGCTCAAATTGTTGAGCCCATTAATGCAGATTTTAAACATACTGCTGAATAAGATTCAAATTATTTTATTTTTTAAAAAAAATGAGAAAGGAATAGTTCTCATGAAAATTGGTTGACAAAGTGTACAAGAATGATCCTTTATCCTTAATTATGCTTAAACAAAACGTTAAACAGTTTTACAGATAGCTATCTTATAAGTGATTAAAAAATAGCTACACCTGGAAAATGTTGAAAGAATAAAAAACATTTTTCTACCTTTACATCTAGTATGTAATTGTTACAAATCACAAAAAACAAAAGGTACCATATATATTTAAAATGGTTACACCTAATCAAGGTTTGAAAAATACCAGAAGCAAAAATAGTGCTTCAAAAATGTTTAACTTTAATGAAGAAAGACAAGAAAGTCCAGTTATCTCCTGAAAAAAGTACCTTTGGGTTTAACTTTAATCTTAGATTTAAATCTTTTTTGTATTGTACAGTTAAGAAGATAAATTCAAATTTGAGTGACCTTAATTAATCTGTAAAGATAATATTTTAAATAATTCCATTTGTTACCTAGACTGCTGTAAGCGTTGTTTTAAGATGTTAAGAGATATTGCTGGTGATGTCATAATGTCAATGTAAGCAATATAAACCACAGATTAATCACTCTGTTCTACATTAAGAGTGTCTTGCCTCTTTAATTGCCTAAAACCTCCTAAAACGGGGTGGGAACTTGATTGGGGGGTGATTCTGTTTGCTTCCATGTTTGTGGTATTTGAGAGTTGGGTTTAAATAACAAAATAGCTCCTTAAATATTCCAGAGATGCAAAAATATGAAAAAAAACCGTGTGTATGTGGGAATGTAGTTTGGAAATGGTTGTGAAAAACTACTCTGCGAATAATAAATAATTTGCTTGGAGGGGAAGGTCTGTATATATCTCTTGCTCTCCTACCAGTTCTCAGTTGAGAATCAATGATTTTCAAGCGAAGATTTCATATTTATTATAATAAGTAACGTCTTTCATATATATATATATATAGAAAACTTACTCTAATTGGATTGTAATACTAGAATATAGTTTGGACCGGTAAGCACATACCAACCTACATTTATGTTTATGCGCATATGTTTGCATTTCTGTGAGTGGCTTTCTAGACCAGATCACATATATACACATACATATGGGATATAAGGCTTGGCTGAAGTATGGATTCCAAAACACAGTGGTAAATTGGAACAAATCTATATGTACTTGGGATGAAGTTGATGTAACTAAACTGTTCTGAATTTAAGCCTCCACAAATTTTTTTCTAAGTGTCAGTAGGGTACAACTGATAGTACTGCTGCAGAAATCATTGAGTTTGTTGTCATTAACACAACACTTCACAGTGGGGAATGGTGGTAAGTTAGGTGATAAGTCTGTCCTCGTCCTTGTGATCCTACCATCATAGTTATTTCACTAACAGCAACTTAAGGCAGTAGCCAGATCTTGGGAGACAAATGTTTTTATAATTGCTCCATCAAATTTGTGCTTGTCCTGAGATGCATGGCAAAGTTTTAAGAGCTGGGTTAGCTAATCAACAGGTTTAAGAAATCCTTTTATTTTTTCAGAAAAGTCCAGTGAGTTGATCCCTTACAGTTTTGCCTCAACACCTAACAATCAACTCCTCCATGTTCAAGAAAGGGTATAGTTATTCCTTGCCACCTCCTTTCATGTAGCACAAAACTCAGCCTGTCTTATTTATATTTTAGTCCATACAGCCATTATCACAGTAATTTTCTTCACATTCCTGAAACAAAAAAAGTTATATGCACTTAGAAAAATAAATTGAAAACCTTTGCAATGATTTCTGTGATAGCCACCTAACAGACAGGTTTTCCTGTCATCTCACTCCATTTGGGCAGAAAAGAATAAAAATTAGAGCTGCTACCTTTTTTCTAGGCTAAATTGTGGAATTCAACTTTATCTTTCTAAATATGATAAGATTAACCGCAGCACAAATTCTAAAATTACTGATACGTGTGCTTTCTCTCTCTCTCAGCATAAATATAAATCCACTGATTATTCTTACATAGTAGTAGTTCTGTAGGATTTCCAGTTGATGCCAAAGTCAGGAGATGAATATCAGAATGGAAAATATGAAATAATAGTTTCAAAATCAGAAATGCTGAAAATGTTGATATTTATGCAAAATATATTTATTATGGTTGCTTTACTTCTAAATTGCTTAAGCTTTCTTGTAATATGTTTGATCTAACACAGCTTATTCTCCTCTCAAAAAAACCGCCCAAAACAACAACAACAACTCACTTGTTTGATGCGGTCTGGATTGACAGTTGTCTGAGGCTGCAGAATACTAACTGGTTCTGTCTTGGCCACATTTTGAGGCATTTCTCGTATCTTTTCAGCAATGAAGCCGTGCACAGCATTTAGTGCTTCCACTGTTCCCTGGATCAAACACACCCGCTCTGTCGTACCTTCAGAAACAAATAAAATGCATTTTGTTGTCTTGTTTTTAAAACATTAGGTATGTGCAGGAACTAATGAGACCATAGCCTATCAGTTTAACTACTTTAAACAGAATAACCAATTCATGAAAAGATCATACTGTAATGCACAATGACTAGGATATGAGAGCTTAATGCACAAGATGGAGAATGAGCATTTTTTTTCTTTTTGAATGTTTTTTGGGCGATGAGTGTATTAATGTGGATATATTTAGATATATATTGTCCAGCTCTGTGTTGTGCGCCAGTTACGCCTTTTCCTAGACAGGAAGGCCTTCTACTTAGTCACTCATGTTTTGGTCATCTCCCAATTGGACTATTTCAATGTGAGCCATACTGGGTGCCAAAAGAGAGACAAATGTAACACCTTTGCTCTGCAAAATGTACTGGGTACCATTTTGCTTCCAGATCCAATTCAGGTGTTAGTCAACACCTATAGGGCCAGACTATCTACAGCAGAGGTCCCCAACCTTTTCGGCACCAGGGACCAGTTACGTGGAGAGAGGTTTTTCCACGGACCAGAGGGGGCATGGTTTTCTGTGCTGTCTGCAATCTTTGGATGGGGCTTTCTTTGTTTGTGCAGACCGATTGCTGACATGCCGCGGCCCGGTACTGACTTTGCCTCACATCAGCTCATCCCACTCGTTCAGGCAGGGCAGATATATTGCAGATCCCATAAGTCAAAGAATTTTGACTGCAGGGTCTAAGAGGATGGCCTTCTCTGTTGCTGCCCCTGCATTGTGGAACACCCTGCCCTCAGAGATAAGGAAAGCCCCCAATCTCTTGGCCTTGCCCAAAGGGGTCAAAATCTGGCTGTGTAGCCTTGCATGGGGGACACAGGGACCCATACAAATGTGGGTCTGACTGTCCCCATAGGAATACCTCCTTGTTTGTATTAACAACTGCTAACCACCCACTTTGGAGTTTTTGAAATTTTATGTTATTTTTATAATTTTAAAACTTTTTAATCTTAAATTAATTCTGATTTTAATGTTAATTTTATTGATTATATTGTGCACTGCTCAGAGCTCCTCTCTGAGGGAGATGGGTGGTTAAGAAACTAACTAACTAACTAACTAACTAACTAACTAACTAACTAACTAACTACATAAATAAATAAATGTAAACAAAATGAAGGTACCTAGAACTGCTTAAGGTTACAGTGACTAGTTTACTTTGTTCAGTAATAGTGGCTTCTCTTCATGTACAGCACATGCAGATTGCCCTGCCTTGAGCACCTCTGTGAGGAACTTTGTTCTTCTATGCAGTGTGATATGCCTCCATGAAATGAATCAATCTGCACAACCTTAAAATGTTTCTTGCAATATGCTTACTTATTATAAGCCCTGACTCTAAGGAATATAAAGGACTATGTTAGACTAAAAACAATGTCAGTTAGGCTGAGAGTCAGAAACTTGTCCAAGAGCTTAGTAAGCATCTGAACTACAATTTCCAATACTAAAACATAGTGCTCTAAACTTTTAAGTTCCAATCTTGAATCTAGAGTCTTATAAATTTATTATTTATGACCTATTCTATGCCATTTTATACATACAGTATACTATAAACTAATCCACATGATTCTATAAACCAAGGGTCCCCGACCCCCGGTCCATGGACTGGCACCACAAAAAGCAAAGCCCCATCCGTGGAATGCAGGCAGCATTCGAAACCTCGTCCCCTCTGCTCTTCAGAAAAACCTTTCTCCACAGAACCAGCCCCTGGTGCCCGCTGCTATAAACCCATTATTTCTTGGTGCAATATTAGTTTCTCATTTTCTTTTGTGTTACTTCCTTTGAGCTTTTTACGAATACAAAGGAAATTTTCCTTATAAGCTGGGATATTACTCAAGACCCTATGAACATTTTATTATTCACATATTTCTAGAAAATATTGCATTTTATCCTGAAAATTATGCTGTTTATTTTTAAGAGTTTATTTATGCCATTCTTGATCCCTCTTTATTTTTTATCCCACCTTTATAAGTAACTCAGAATGGTGAACATACTTAATCCCTTTCCTCCTTCTACTTTTCCCACAACAACCCTGTGAGGTAGGTTTATTTGAAAGAGAATAACTATCCCTTAATCACCCAACTGGTTTTCATATCTAAGGCAGAACTCACAGCCTCCTTGTCTCTAGGCCAGCACCATAACTATTACAATAAATCTCCTTTGAATATGCTTTCGAATTTTAAGATTCCACTGAATTGTTCCTATTTAAAAAATGTTTAACTATATGTACCAAAAGGTGTTAATGTAGCAAATAGATACATTTCACTACATCCATAAGAATTTCCTAAATTCTATTATTCCAGTCTTAGAATGTTCATTTTTCAATACCAGTAGTACTGAAAACCTGGAATAAACATAGATTAAGATAGACAAAACTAACATAGCATACCAGAAGGCTACACACATTTACCTGGATGCAAAAACGATCAACCTCAATGATACTACAAAAACATGTATAAGCTTTTGATTGAGGATTTCCAGTTTTTCTGTGTGCGAGAGAATGATTTTATAATGATTTAATTTTAATAAAAGGAAAGTCTCTTTCACTTTTATTAAAGTGAAGTTCAACTTGACTCCTCTTGGTCAATTCTATGCTTTCTAGGAAACTATAAGGTTGATGTGAGCTCTCTCTCTCTCTCTCTCTCTCTTTCTGTGTGTGTGTGTTTGTAATTGTTATCTATGCTATTTCAAAAAAACTGCAGCATTATTTTAGAAGATATTTTGCAGAAAACAAGACTATTGATATATAAATTAACTTGATCTATGGATGCAATTTCCTTGTGGTTTATTTCTCTCTCTCTCTCTCTCTCTCTCTCTCCCTCTCTCTTTTGTTGTCTTTATTGTCTGCAAGCTCTCTTTTGGTGTAGAACTCCTGTGGTTCCTGCATTAAGTGCTCTATTTCTGAACAAGTGCACTAGGGAGTCTTTACATGAAGTATTAATTATCTACTATATGATAAGAAGCATTGTGGATTGATCAATGTAGCTAATGCAAGTGTTCTCTTTTGATCAGCAGACAAACATTCATATAAAACAGGTATCAGTTTACATAGAAGAGATTGGAAACTAAATAGACAGCACTTAAACTGATGAACACTATCAATAATATCAAACTAACAGAAATGAAAGAGACCAAATAGAAATTTCATTAAGCTCACATTCAAATCAAACTTTTGTGCACTGCTCTTTAGAAGTTTCAGATTAGAATTCCAAATTCTAGGTTTTCTCTAATAACAAAAATACAACATAAAATTAAAATATACTCACATTATAATGCAATATGAATTGTGAACCTAAAGACATTTCTCCCCTGTCCACTATGTACATAATGCAGTATAATGTGGACTCTCATTCCTCGGGCCCACAGTTTACATCCATTAGGTACCAATATTCCTGGTATACCAAAGGTGCCTGCCAGACTTCTTGATACGTCCTATTTTTTAAAATAATTCTTTTAATTGAAAAATGAGGCATTAATTGAGAATGAAAGATGAATTGAAATAAGGGAGCTAATTTGGGTGCAAAGCAAAGAATCAGCTGCAAGCATAATTCCTATTTCTAACAATGACCTTGGCTTTTATAAACCCCAGAGGTATTCTATTACTGAAGCCTAGTGCTTTGTTTAGGAAGTTGCCCATGCTTTGAGAAAAGATTCAGGTGGTAGAAAGAATACTGGGAAACCAAAGAAAGAGGCAGATTACAGCAGCATTGGTTTATATTCTAATAAGTGAGTAATTTGTGACCATCCTAACTGATTAAAAATCACAAACCTCATGACCATCATGGCAGCTGCTTTGTCCATCAATAATATTCTCTAACGTACACAATCCAAAGTGATTGGTGATCCTTTCCAAACATGGGTATTTTATTTGATGGTTTACTCTAAAGGTCAAGTATAGGTAATTCTTCATACGACATTTGTTTAGTAATTGTTCAAAGTTACAATGACAGTGAAAAAAGTAACTTATGGTCAGTCCTTGCACTCATGACCACTGCAGCCTCCCCATGGTCACATGATCAAAATCCAGGCATTTGGCAACTGGCATGTATTTACCACAGTTATAACATCCTGGGGCTATGTGATCACCATTTGCGACCTTCCCAGCTGGCTTCCAACAAGAAAAGTCAGTGGGGGAAGCTGGATTGACTTAACAATTGTAGTGGTTCACTGGGCAAAAAAGTCATGAATTTGGATGCGACTCTCTTAACAACTGCTTTCCTTAGCAATGGAAAGTCTGATCCCAATTGTGGTCATATGTTGAGGACTACCAGTACTATAGCTTACTAAATATATTTCACATGTGCAACCCTCTTCCTGAATGGTCATTACTGTACAACTTTTTTCCCCTAGATATGAAGACTGCTATCACTTTATAAATCAGAAATTATAAATGTCATGGAATTGTAAGCTCTATATGTTCAGAGCATTGAAGTTATTCTTAGGTTCTTCTGCTATCCATGAATGTGTAAGCATTAACTGTCACTATACATTTTGACGTATTTCTAATATATGACAAAGAACATATGTAGCTGTATTCAAAAGATTACTAAATTAGAAGTAATCCAGTCAATTTACAGCTTAATTAGAGCTCTATTCAGACATCATATTATTTTACCACATAAAGAGCATGGGAGTGAGGAGATTGGAAACTGAGAGACTGGAAATTTTATAGAGTGAAATATTTTTTCCCCCTCCTAGTTGATAGAAGGGTGCAAAGGCTCCTTCATGCAGAGCTCCTCTGAATTTCAAAGCTATACATAAATGAGGGGCAGGGAGGGAAGAGAGTTGGTACTTTCTGGCATCCTCTTGTTTTCTATTTTAATTGCAAAGGAATAGCCAGCTTGCTGCCTTGAAAAAAGGAAGATACTTTTTCCTTACAGCTACTGTGCCTATATTGAAATATAAAGTTTCGTGGCCATGTCTGACTCCAAGCATGACTTCTATAAACTAAGAGGA